GGGAGGGGAATTGAAGGGGGACTATAACCAAGATGAAAATGCATACATTGTGCAAAAATGAAAAATGATGTAAAAAATATATAAAATAAAATATAAAAAAATTCAAGATGTTCAATGGGAGTTCATAGTAAAGGTTGAATTCATGAATTCAGATGATGAATGGGTAGAAAGTGGGGACTCATAATAAGAGCAAAGGCATGAAAGCTAGAAGGAAATGAATGAATGAGGAAAATATTGGACTCGATGCTCAGATTTCCCCCTGAGCCTCCATTCCCATTGCCTTTGTCCAGATGCTGATCCTTTGTTCCATAATGGTGTTGTAGCTGGGCGCCTTTCATCTTGGTTCAGCTACCTCCAAGTCCATCTTGTATTTACCAGACCTTAACCAGGTACACCTCCCACTGGGTTGAAATGATGTTTATATTTTATTGACTGCCCTGCGCTGGGAGGTGCCGGGGGCTTCACCATCTGAGGGGCAGTGTGACAGTGGAAAGAACAGGAGCCATGAAACCTCCCTACCCTGATTCTGTTTGTTACTGCCTGTGTGTTAAGCAACTTTTTAAAACTCTTGAAACCTTAATTTTCTTATCTGTAAAATGGATACAATAATAACTACCTCTTTGGACCATATCAAATTAGATGCAAAATACAGAAATGTCCAATAGGGCTCATTTTCCTGCCCTCCTTTTCTTCTTTCTGTACTACCTATTGAAGCAGAAGAGCCCGAAGCTACCAGATGTGATCAATTACAAAAAAAAAAAGGGGGGGGTGCTTTTTGGGACCTCCCTGGTGGCACAAGGGGCTAAGCATCAGCACTATGAACTATCTGCAACTACTGTAGCACGAGTTCGATCCCTGGCCAGGGAGGTGACCCACATGGCACAGCAGACCTCTCCTGTCTTGCCAGCTGCTCCCCTCAGCAGTGTATTTCAGCCAATTTTCCTGTTCTGCTCCCCATTCTGTCTCTGGTGAATCCTCTCACCGCCCCGCACCTCTGGCCTACACCCCAGCTCTTGTATGCATAAATAAATAAATCTTTAAAAAAAAGTGCCTTTTTCTGGTGGCATCAAATGTTAACTCTTGCCAATGACACAGTGCCAATTCAACATATTCCTGGAAGACTAACATTGTTTATAGATACATCAGTTTGTACATTTAAAAACAAATCCAGATAAAGAAATAGTCACTCCTTCATCATGAAGGATGTCAACACAATTTCTAAAATTGAAAACTCCTTGTTTCTGGAGTTTCCAGATGCGGTTTTCTTCAATGCAGAAAATGAAACATTTTGTACAGACAGAAACTAGCTATTGTCTTTTTTTAGTTTCAGCAAGAAGCACATTTATTACATGTTCAACACAGTCATATTCACTTTTTTCCAACTGAGAGCTATTTAAGGGATTTCATTATATTTTTGGAAATTTCCATCAATCAGATTTAGTAGCCACCAAAAAAGAACTCCCCAATTAAACTTTTATAACATGAGTGTGACTTGTAATCTCTACAGTAAGAAAAAACTAAATAGAAGGGAAAACTATTCATAAGCTATAATACTTCTTGGCAAAGAAAAATTGTTTTATGTTTTTTAAGATATATTTGAGAATTTACACAAAATTTACATGCTTGAAATTAGTGCCAGATGCAAACACAATTCAAGCACAATTTGCTAGCTGCATCGATTATTTCACCATGATTTAGTGAAAGGTATTCAATAATTCTATGTTTCATAGAAATCTCACAAATACAAGTATTTCATTCACAAAATGCATGGCTTGGCAGGTTTCCAGGGTGGGAATTTGCTGGAGGGAGAGTAAATTTATTGATTAAAATAAATCAAATAACTGACATTTCCCCCAGATAACTGGCAAAACAAAAATACTCTTATGCAAAATCTTACAGTCAGAACCAGAAGAAAAGTCTGAGCTATTTATGTTTATGATAAAATCTAATAATGTCATAAAAAATCAGTTACTTGAGAATGCTCAAATTAATATTGAGAAACTTAGTTTTAAACACATTATTTCTAGAGTAAGACTTTCCAAAGACGTGTGGAATCTGGTGTTTCTTAGTCTTCTGTGTACTTGTAATTTTAGTCCTGCTCTCATTTTTGCACTAAATGATGAGTATCTTTGATACACTATACATAGAAACAATCCAGACAGTTATTCAATGAGTCGACAATACAGCCTTCCTCTCATGTTTTGGTCCTGCCCCTCTGTGCTCACTTTTCCTATCCTGATCACATTTTCCACTGTTAGCATTTGCTGGACTGAATGTTTGTGTACCTCTCAATTTCCTATGCTGAATCCCTACCTCCCAGTATGACTGTATTTGGAGGTACGGCTTGTAAGGAATTGAGCGGGGTTGTAAGCGTAGGGCTTTGAGCCAATAGGGACAGTGTCTTCATAAGAAGAGATACAGATAGTTAACTAGTTCCCCCCACCTGTTTCTCTACTTCTTCCAAAACACTGCAAGTTGGCTGCTGCCTGCAAGCAAGAGCAAGAGAAGAGGTCTTAGAATGGAAACTGATTTGCCTGCACCTTGATTTTGGACTTACAACCTCCAGAAATCAATTTCTGTTGTTTAAGCCACCCAATCTGTGTATTTTGTTAAGGCAGCCTGAGCAGAATAATACAGCAATTAAGAGGTCCAGGGCAATATCTATTTTTTTACTTTTTAAGGATTTGGATTCAGGGAAATCACCATTGAGAAGCTGGACACACTTCAGAGAACGAGTATGAAACAGGACCTTAGGGGCCCAGAAAATCAGATTTTACTATGATTCTGGGGTTAGAGAAAACTACTCCATAAACATTGGGGGTGAGGCAGCAGATAGTTAATAAATGTAAACATCTGTTTATACTAAATTGTGATGTATTAGAGTGCAATGAAAATTTTTACATCTTTATAGAATGTTTCAAAAGGGGGCACTATTAATAACATTAACAACAAATAGCTAAGACTTAAAGTTACTGTGGGTCAGCTCATGTATGTAATCTATGCGATAGATAAATTATATGTATATACTATGTCTGGCGTGTGTGTTTGTGTTTCTGGGTTTTTGTATTTTTTCTTATATAAATGTCAGAAGTGAAACAGTACAATCTTGAGGGGAAGGAGGAGACCCAGTTGGTGGATCCTCATCCATGTATTTAAGAATGCAGGACAGGCCTCTCTGGTGGCTCAGCGGGTTGAGCACAGTGCTGTGAAGTTGTCCGCAGCCTCTGCAGGGCAGGTTCGATTCCTGGCCCGCCAGGGAGATTCCCACATGGTGCAGCAGACCTTCCCTGTCACTACCGTTGCTCCCCTCAGCAGTGCTTTCAGTCTGTCTGCCTGTTCTGCTCCCCGCTCTGTCTCTGGTGAATCCTCTCACCCTTCCGTGCCTCTGGCCTGTACCCCAGCTATTGTATAAATAAGAAATAAATCTTTAAAAAAAAAGAATGCAGGACACAATCAAAAATAGATACAAGATGCTAAAAACAATACAGGATCTATTTACACAGGAAGTGAGAAAAGGTAGAAGGGAGAGAAAGTATAGCCTGACATGTAGACAGATGCCATCCTATCCCAGGTATTGTCCACTAAGCAGAGACCAGAGTCCAAGCTCAAGACAACTGAGATAAGAAGAAGCTTCTCCACAACATCATCAGCAGGTTTAACTGCCCAGGCACCAGTGGTTTTATTAATGGAGCCCCAGGAGCTGAGCTGTGAAACTCAGCTCTGGTCCTATGTCCTATCACCCCCCTCCCCACAAGAACGTCAGGGGTAGAGTCTAGAAATCTCCACCATCTACCATAGAATTGGCTGTGAGCGCCAGCTTTGGAGTTTGCTCTCATTGTTCCTTTTATACCAGAAAACAGAAAAATATCCTTAATCTTATTACTACAATGAAAATATTTTCAAACAGCTCTGCTCATGTCATAACATTCTATTTTATCTTCTTGGTTTGTTTCTCTCTTGCTTGTTTTCTATCCTCTGTACAGGAAGAGAAGCTCAATGTAAGCTCTGGACAAGGCCACACAGCTGGCCAGGGAAGCCGCTTGGCCGGAGCATCACAGGATGGTAAAGCTCCATGACAGCAGGAGTCTGGACAGTTTTCTGCTAAACAGAAGCTGGCAGGGTGCCTGCTCAATAAATCTGTGCAGCCAGAAGCAAACAAACAAACAAACAAACAAACAAACAAACAAACAAACAAACAACAAACTTTTGAATAAGGAAGAACGGGTAGGGAGGCTGCAAAGGATAAATTAGCTGCAACATTCCCGGGAGGCCCCCGAGAGCTGGGGCGGAGAGTCCCGCTTCTTGCGGGATGAACCCACGTCAAGGTGACAGCGGCGCTTTCCTTCCCCGGGACCCCGGGCCCACGGCGGGAATGGAGAGAGAACAAAGCCTTTTAAAATGTCCAGAGGAGAAGGGAAAACGGTGAGAGAAAGGGGCGGGGTTCTGGAAAGAGATGGACCAGCCCCTTGACTCCCCGGCCGGAGCCCAGCCGAGGCGGCCGGTTGCCACGGCGACCCGGAGGCCAGAGCGGCCTCAGCCCATTGGCTGCCCCGCCTGAGCCAATGAGAAGCCGCCGTGTTGCGGAGTCATAAGATGGCGGCCGGGCGGCCGGCTCCAGACCGGTGAGTACGGCTGCTGGGGGCTGCCTTCTGCCCGGCGCCGCTGCGGCGCGACGGGTCTCGGAGGGCCGGGCGCGGGGACGGGGGCGCCGGCGTGGGCGGCCTCGCGGCGCCGCGGGTGGGTCCGCCAAGCCCCCGGCCGGGCCCCCCGGGGCGTCCCGGGACTGTCGGCGGCCTGTGGCGGGGGGGAAGTCCTCGCCCGCCCCCCCCACCTTCCCCTCGCCGGAGCGGCGGAGCGGAGGGTCCCGGCCGGGGAGCGGGCGCCTCTGTGGGTCCGGTGTCCCGGGAGAGCGCTGCGGGCTGGGCGCGTGTCCGCAGGCGGGACGGCCGCCCGACGGGCTTCTGCCGGGCCAGGGGCCGGCGCCCGCCTCTGCCGCCCGGAGCCCGCCGAGGCCCGGGCCGCGCTGCCCCGCAGGGGAGGCTCCTCTCCTGGAGCTGCCCTCGTGCAGTCTGGAACCTGGTAAGTCTCCTCACCGCGGCTTCTGACTTAAAATGAGCCTCGAAATGTTATTGGTTCATTGTCAATCTTTCCACGCAGGGTCTTGGATCCGGGGGTGTTTTCCAGGCCTTGATTAAACAAACAGTCTTTAATTAGAACACACACATACATGCAGAATCCTGCTAAATAATTTATCTGGGTGATCAGATTGGTAACTCCAGGCTGAAACCAGGCTTGGGATTTATTTGTACTTTCTGTACCTTTTTGGGAAAAGGGAACACATTTGTTCCACAAAAGCAAATAGGACATTTGTATTAATGTTGATACGTGCTTAAAAATATTTTTAATTAGGTAACTAACTCCAAGTCATAGAAACTGATTGTGTAAATTGTTGAATACCATCTTCACATTATTCGCTGGTAGTTGATGATAATTATGCAAGTGAGATTACTTTCAAATCAGATAAGGTTCAGATTTCTGTAATTTCTAATTGAATACAAAATGTGGGAAATAAGACAGCTTCATTTGGTGAAAAGGGAATTGAAACTCTGGAATATTAGAGACGGGAGACCTTTATCCATTATACTGTGCAGATTTTATCTTTTAGGTTTCGGTTATAAGCAGTTGCCTAGTCTTCCAGAAAATGTGACATAATTACCCAAACCTTTGAATGTGACTTTGATGAATGCAATTCAGTATAATATCTTACATAGCTTTCTGCGTTTAAAAAGTAAGAAAAAAAATCCTTAATCAATTTTTAACAAGTCTAGAATATAGGCTGGAGTCGTTCTTCAGACCCACTCTCAAATCTTTGTCTCCAAAAATACACATTACCACTTAAAACTCTGCCCTCTAAGAATTTATAATTTGAAGACACGGGATTCTATTTTTGTAGAATAAGCAGATCACAATGCATTAGTCAAGTGAGTTAACTCATTTGTAAAAGGAGGTTAAATAGTAATTACTAGTGGAAGGGCTGACATGAGGATTAATGGTAAATAAGTGCCTGTCACACTGTTTGCCTGATGACCTGTTTTGTTTTCCTTTACTGGTTCCATTTCTTCTGTCATAGCTGAGATTTCCTTACCTTTCTTCAGAGCATCTCTTAGTTGTCCTATCTGAAATGCACAGTCTTACTGAGAACTAGTAATACTGGTTGCTGTGGCTAGGTTGAGGAGAGAAACCTTATCTCCAGTAGATACTGTATTGAAGTATTGGGGTTTAATCAGTATTGTGTCTGACTGGGAGAGAATGGAGTATTACATACAGCAAAGAGCAAGGTGACTCTGGGTGTTTGGGCACATGTAATACTATGATTCATAAAGAAACATTTTAGAACTGCAAGACATCTCAGAGATCATCTGATAGCTTAAGAGCAGAGACCAGACAGATAACAGGGGCTTACTCACAGTTACATGGTTCAGGATTAGAAACTCAGTTTTTGACTTTGAAAACAGTATTTTTCCTACTATTCCAGTGGATCCCTTTTCTGTCACATGTTAGAATGCCTTATATTACAATTTGATATCTTAAAGGATGCTATAGTCTGAAAAATTATGTGTACTAAGTTATATTTATAAAGTTTTCTTTTAAAATGTACATAAAAATTACTATTCAGAGACTTAGGTGAACCAGTACGTGGTGAAGAATAATGCGTCATTGAATTTGTGTCTTCACCTAAAGGTGGCTGATGTTGTTAAAGGAAAAATAAAATATGTTACCCGTTTTGAATATTGAAATTAACTTAGAGAGCTGCAGCATTTGCTTCATAAAACTGTGAAAACCTTAGATTAGGAATTGCTGAACTGTGTCATGTTCTTGATGCTCTGCCATCTGCCCAAGTGTGCTGAGTATTGACTGTGGTTGGTTTTCAAGGGCAAAAGAAAACTCAGCTAGTCAGATTAGGATGATACATAAATATTTTCAGTTTATAGTGAATTGTGTCAGCCAGGGACTAAAGATGTGTTCTGTGGTGTATACACAGAATTTTTCTGTAGAATAATTAGGGAAAGGAATAAATACAGACTCTCAAGGTAGCAGATGTATAGAATGAAGGCGATATTCAAAATCATAGAGAAAAAAGGGATTCTGAATCATTTACATCTTCATTGGGGTTGAAATGAAATGAAGTGAAATTAAATTAAAAATTTGCGTTACAGGCTAAACAAAACTTATGAATTAATACATGGGCTGTAGCTCTGACTATAATCTACACTAAAAAAATACCAAGTTTCTAATTCTGTAATACCATATCTCTTCAGACTGACTGAGTCAGTTTTACATTTAAAGGGTAATTTGGAATGATCTGTAAAATAAAGGAAGACACTGCAAAGGATGGGGTGAGAGACACTTCAGGAAATAGGGCATCATCCTCCAGAGCTGGAGATGTATGAGTGGCACGTGTGTACTATGAATAGCAGGACGGTGCTTTTTGAGCAGGAACCCAAAGCAAGCCACAAAGCAGCCACTGCACGGTGACTGTTGGTGTGGGCAAGTGTGCTCTGCAGGCTCCCAAAGAGAGAGTTCTGTGTAGCACAACCCCGGGAGCTGCCCTTGTGTTTTACTTAGTAACAGTTACAGGAGAATGCCACTTCACTGCAGAGATGCTCAATAATTTTGTTCAGAAACACACCTCTGAATTTTTCCCTATTCATGGATTTCGGGTTAGAGTCTATTCATTTAATTCATTTTTTCTTTTTTCTGTGGGCACACACAAGAATTGATACCAGCTAATTCTACACTGAAGATAATTCCTAATGCTCCATCAGCAAAAGCTAAAAATTTATGAATTTGAGAAAGTCTGGAAGGCGATCCAATATGGGTAACTGCTTGAGGGCTGCTGGGGAAAGTTGGTTTGTCCCAGGCAGTTGAGATTACCCTGCTGGTCCCCAGCGCACAGGCTCATCCTGCAGGGACGCTGCAGCGTCGGTACCGCAGAAGACCCTCTTATAAGCACCTGCCTGTCATGAGCAGCCACAGCTGAAGTCTGGGCTGAGTGCTACTGGGCTGTTGGTGGGCAGAAGCTGGCCACGTGTGCATTTTTGCATGTTCTGTGTACTGCTGTTCCCATTTCTTGAGGAGAGCCTGTCATAGGGTGCCTTGCACAGGGAAGAGAACCAGAGGTTTCAAACATGGAGCCTAAATTTTGCTAAGAAAGCTAATTCTGAAATTTATTACTATCCTTAAGTCCTGAAATGGATAATGAGCCTAACAAGACTATATATATGTATATACCAATGACAGAGTCGTTGGACCTAGCTATCACTCCTTCCCCTGCTGCTCTGAATAGTAGAAAAAATTTTTATAATAGTATAGAATCTATTTTTCAATATTGGCATATTTTTAAGCTGTCCTCTGCATTACCAGAGTATCTCAAGAGATCTCTACTCCAACTTTTAAAATCCTCAGGCCAGGTTTAGGAGTGGATCCAGGCTTCATGGAGCCTGGATCTTATGTAATTTTGAACATAAAAATATAAAAAGGAACAATAGAATACAAATTGTGGATAGAAGATTGGGTACAGTACTTTGGAAGGACCTGGGCATTGAAGCTTAAGTTCCATCATCTTACTGGTAATTTGGTTCTGGTTTTACTGCCCTACTCAGAAAACCAGGCACCAACAATTTTATAGATACTAAATGTCAAACCGTGGAAATCAGGGGAGAAAGGATTTGCATCAGTTGCTAAGTGAATGCACCTGTGACATTAGAAGTGTCAAAACTACTGCCACCAGTAATAGAAATGACAAAGATGCAATACATGGCTAGAGAAGTAATAGTAGGAAAAAGAATTTAGCAGTGTTTTCTTGGCTTATCTCATCTGCTCCTCCAAGTAACCCTGTATGTGGTATGATTAGCCCTGCATTCCAGGTGGAAAAAACTGAGGGTCAGCAATGTTAAGAGTCATTTCCTCATACCCTTGGTTTGTAAAGTCAGGTTTGCAGATGGAGCAGTTAGATGTCAGAGCCCTTCCTCTTAAAAGCCAAGGCAGTATTTTGCTGAGGATGTTTCAGGGCATCCTCAACAGGCAGCTGCTTAGTTGACAGCAGAAAGTAAGCTGCGACCTGGGAGGAGGTCTCAGGAATCTCTTCTGAGTAGTGCAGTCTCCTCAGATGCCTTTGTCTCAAGGAGTGGTGGTGGTTCTCTTACCCGGGTCATCATGGGCAGAAAGCTCAGTGAAAAAGAATCCCATCCTTTCATCTCAGGCTGGCAGTAACCGTTGAGCAGCATAGCAAACATATCTTTTAGACATCTTTTGAACAAACTGGGCTTGGCTCAGTATATTTGCTCATACACCGTGACGTGAAATCAGTAATGAAAACGTACTCAATTCAGCTAATTTTAGCAAACAATGACAATGCCAATTTTTAAAAATCATTTTTATTAAAATTGACAGTAGTTAACTCACAGCTAATGTTAGCATGTTCCTGGACGTGACCATTACTTTCTCACATATGGTGATGTTCTTCAAATAGGCTATACATTTTTTTTTTTTGTTAAATTTTTAGGATTATACTCCACTTAGCATTATTTTGGCAAACAGTATAAACTTAAAACTAGTATTTTTTTTACTACCACTTTCCTCAAGCTACTCACACAATTTAAAAATTTTTTCCTACTCTTTAGTTTGACACATTCAAATATAGGTGAAACATCTGACTTTATTTTCTTCTCTAATTGTTATAGCTTGAAATATAGTAGTACAATCCTTAAATTTCCTGCCATGTATATTGTTAGTTTCTTAACGTTCTTGAGCAATGAATGCTTTCGCTAAGTTTTTATTTTTAAAAATAAATTATCTGCATGTTAGAAAATCAGGGTCCCATTTAAGTCACTCATCTGGAGGACGCTTGTAAAAAGATTGTTTAAACTCTGTAATTGTCTTTTTCTTACATAAGGAAAAATTTTAGTCATTTAATATGGAGGGGTATATCCCATTTTAGATTTGTGCATGGACTGTCCCCCAACCATTGACATGACTGCTAGCATCCCCAGATGTCTTTCAGGGCTCTTGAAATTCCTCCCGTGATGACTTTATGTGTCTGAATTCACCTTTTTCCCTGTAGAAGAAAACATGTGGAGTGGGCTGCTACCTCCTGGCCTAAGTGAACATGATGCTGAGTTGAATTCTGAAGATGAAGCCACACTGGAGAACTCTGGGCTTAACTTAAAGGGAGATCAAGAAGAGGGGCGCATTACAAAAGCAGGCTTCGCAGCGTCCCCTAGAGATGGCCCCAAACCCGAAGCAGAAGCAAATGTGAATGCTTATGAAGAATGTCCTTCTGGAATTCCCTTAAATATGTGGAATGTAGGTTTTCTGATGTGCTCTTATAGTCTGTGCTTGTGAACTTGTGCACGCTTATATATGTGTTCTGGGCAGAGGCGATCGTGACTATTGACTCAGGATGCTTTCATTACTCTTGGGGCAGCCCTCAGCCCATTGGCTGCTCAGCTGCCTGCCTTCATTTTTGTTTTGATTAGTTTTCCATAAAAAGAGGGTGGAAAAACCACTTAGTAGTGTTAACTACTTTGGCTAACTTGGTGTATTGGGAATTTCCTATCTTAATTTTATCTTTTGTTATCGATATATGAGTTACTAAATGTTACTTCCAGATTACCAGATGACCTATTTAGAAATAAATGCAGATAAAAAAATTAGTTGTGAAAGTGTCTTGGAAAAATAGGATCTCCCAGGAATGCACCTACTTTCATTAAGTTGATGTTTTTACATGTATGAGAATTACTACTGACCATGTTTTTTGCTTCAAAATATATTTGCGCCTCTCTCTTTTTACTTTTACCTAGAAATTTCAAGAGTTGCATAAAAGACATTCTGAACAGAAAACCTCAACTTCAAGATCTAAAGGGAGAAAAAGAAAACGCTCCAAAAAAGGTATTTTGTTATTATTCCAATCATTGGTAGTGCTGCTGTTAAATGCTGACTGACTTCACAATTTTTAACAAACATAACTTTGAAGTAATGACAGTCTACTTAGGTATTGATACTGAATTCTTTTCAGGTAGCTTGAAGGATGAAGAAGAATCTCAGAGGTAGGTGGGATTTAAAATCTTTTCCTATTCTGGAGATATTATAGAGCTTGTATAAAGAACTTACAAAGCTCAAACATAAGAACTGTTTTTGTAGTAGAATTGTAATAACCAATTAAGAATAGTAAAAATAAAAATGAGTGCTTTTTGTGTCAAACATAAGTTACCATCTGTTTTCCTGCAGTGCACAGACTTCAAGTGAAACCCAGTGGAAGGAACTTACTCAGTATTTTGGAATTAATGATAGGTTTGATCCCCCTGTTAAAAAGAAAAAAGTTGAGAAGGTAAGATCTTTTCTAATTGTATCTTCCATTAGCTGATAGGAAATGTTTGTGATTAGCCTCACCTAAGGTTTTTCCCCTTATTCATCCATCCTGTGAAAAAGTTAAAATGCCTACTGTACGCCGAACAGTGTGCTAGATAAACAAGTAAATATGTAGTTGGAAATCATGATAAAATTGTTTAGGAAATGAACAGCATGTTGTGAAGAAATTAAAATGGGGGCTCCATTTAGTTTATGGATTGGGGATTGGAAGATGCCATGTCACTAAGACCTAAGGAGGGGAAGGCACCCTCTGTGCAAAGGATGTCCGTGCAGAGACCTTAGCGTGGGGAAGGTCCTAGTGAGGAAGAGTCATCCGGGCGCATTTGTTAAGTGTAAGTGGGTCAGCCTGGAGTCAGTGAGGAGGAGAGAGCCCCTATGTGAGATTGGCAGGCGGTCGAAATTAGGGTTAAGTCATAATGCAGTTGCGTGTCATTTAGGGGCTTAAAGTCAAGGGAGTACCATGATCTAATGTGTGTTTAAAAAGGTTGCCCTGGCTGTTCTGTGGAGAATGGACTGTGGGGTTGGCGAAAGTAGATGAGTTGAGAACAGTGAAGAGACTCTTCTAGGCATGAGTTAGTGGTGGCTTGACTAAGATGGTGCAGCTGGAGAGCGTGGGAACAGAGTAGACTGGGAGAAAGATGCTTAGAAGAAAGTCCAAGCTTGAGATCCACATTTGGGAGTCATCATTAGTAAAGCTTTGAATGAATAACTTACATATTGTCTCCTGGAAATATGGGCTAACTCCGAGCACATGAAAATTGAACGCTGAGCTCTAGGCTAGAAGCACAGGGACTAGTAGTACACTGTAGCACTGCTGTGAACTCTCGCTGTATGTAGAGGCGGTTACCATTTTCTGATTGATCAGTATTTCTTGTGAAAACTTACGACTTTAAGCCCATCACTGGGTGGCACTATATAATCAAGGGCACATGCATTCAGGAACTGACACAACACAATGTGAACTTGTTATTTACAACTTTGCTAAAACATCTTATCATGTGACTGAATCCACTCGAAGTGAGGGTCCTTTTGCTTCATGACCAAAAGCCAGAAATTCAGAAGCCAGATTTGGTTTAACAGACCATTGCTTGATGAGCAACGGAGAAGGACAAACTTGTTTAAAAAAAAAAAAAAGGAACCTTTTTTCACTAGGGAGGACTTCCCTTTTATTTGGGGGAGAGTGATGTCAGGAATTAAGGTGGAGTGTCGATGATAATTCCCAGAAAGTCTCCCTATGCACCCAGTACTCCTGACTTTTTCCCCTCATCCCACTCTAACCCCACATGACACTCAGTTGGGTCCAATTCTGTGGCTGCTGATCTTCCTCACATCCCTGAGAGACAAATATTCTACCTCACAGTTACAAAATCCTTCCTGTTTTGATCTTATTCTTGCGGGGCACCAGGACAGAGGTCATTTGTCTTAGATATATTTTATTCTTGTGTCTGTGCTTTCAATCTTGTCCTTGAACTCTAGGGAATTGAACTTTCTGTCACAACTGATTACTGCTAATGAGCGCTTTTCTTTTTTAACTGTTTGAGCTGGGCAGAAACACTAAATTTCTTACAAAAAAGGTCACTGCTGGAGTTGGAACTACAACCCAAGCTTTATCATGCCGTTCTTAGTTCTCTAGCTCCACTGCCAAAGGGGCGGCAAGTATGTGAAAGTATAATTGTCGTGTTCTTGACCCTTGTGATTCTGGTGGGCTTGTGATTCTGATGTTCTTGACTATAGCAAACGTGCTCAGAAGCACCAGAGAGGAGGGTCATGCTGACAGCCATGACTGCGCCAAGGCGGTCCTAGCTGATTGCTTTATTAGCAGTCCAGCTGCTGATTGTTGTTAGAGGTTAGGACTAGATTGTTCTTAGAGGTAAGGAATGGTTATTCATTCTCCCACAGAAGGAGGGAATTTGGCAACTTTAGATAATAGCATTATATGTGCCTTCTGTGTACCTGGGAGAGATCCAGCATAACTATGTAAATCTGTCATTGTGTTCATTGGGAAAGGTACAGAAAACAAAAGGTATGCAGATTTGGTTTTGTCTCCTCCATTGAAAATAGGTAAGGAGATTAGGTCTTCTGGAACAGGCTCTTACAGGGAGCTTGCAGATAAATAGCAAAAACCTCCTCCATCAAACAACCTTCAGAACCCCTCCCAAGAAATAAGCCTCTTGCAAAGGCCTATTTTGGGGTGGCAGAAGTTTGTTACCCTATAGTCCTGTCTTTGGAACTTCTCAAGAAACTGGATCATTGAGAAGTTGAGTTCTTCAATTATTTATAGAACTAGTCTTTTCAGTCCTGAGAATAGATCAGTCCAGTAAAACAGTTGTGTCCAGTTCTGGAAGCTTCCTGAAAAAGCATCCTCTAACTTTTTCTTGTAAATTATGTGGTCTTTATCTTCAATTATTTATGGTGTTGTAATGTTTTCGTCTTAACTGCGTTGACTTCAGAATGTCTGAGTTGTTTCTTAGTTAAGTTATAGCCATGAAATTGACTTTTTAGCCATTCTCACAGTTTTTCTTGCAATATATTTGTATTCAAATTTTAGCATTACGGTACTTAAGTGGCATTGTACTGTCTTGATACTGGTAGAGTACAGCTATTTAGTCATAGTCTTGAACTTGGAATTTGTGTAGAGTAACTTTAAGAAAGAATGCTAGTTTTCCTTGTGCAGTCTTTTGAGCAACTCGATGTTTAGGAACTGCTCTTTGTTTCAATTGTATATTGAACATATTCTAGAAAAAAATTACAAATCAAACGCCATTTTTAGAATGAGATTTCTGTTTAAGGGAAGACCACTGTAAATGATTTTGTAATCACCCCTGATCTATTTTATAAGTAGGGGTTTTCTTACCAGCAGCTGTTTCTCTGTATGACTGATAAGTGACTGAAGTCATAGCCATCTTCTAAGCGAGGAAACTGACGCTGGCCAGCTTGTATCTGCACAGGATTTTGCTAGCACTTAATATTCTACAATTAATTGTAAGCGTAAAAGGAAAGGAAGGATTTAGTAATGCCATAGTATTTTGTTTTCTCTTGGTGGTTCATAATTGTGTGCCAGCAGGTTTATACTCATCCTTTGGTTTGGGATTGATGTTTTACACGCGCCCCTTCTGTCATGCTAATGTCTCCACTGTGACTCCAACAGAGTAAATAGACATTAAAGACTATCCACATGGGAGGCACCAAGATAAAAGCTAAGAATAAAGTTTAAGTCCAGCAGATAATAGCTACTGCTCAAGAAGTCAAAAGAGGATTGAGAAAATTTGTGATGGCAAGTTGGACAAAGCTAGCGTGGATTTCTAGTCTGTTACTTCATTTTTCTGGAGCGGAGGCTGATCCTTTACCATATCTCAGCACCTTCTTATTCTATAATCATTCACTCAACCCTCAAGAATAGTAAAACAAAACTAACTTCGTAATTCGTGTCATTGTACGATCTTTGTGCTTTCTTTCCCCCTTCTTTGGAACACTGCCAAACTACAACTTGTCAGCCACGGATGTGTATTTACAGCCTGCTGTCACCTGCTTCCCAGCAGTGCAGAGAGGCTTAGATTTTTAAAATGTAATCTTCCTAATATCCAAAAGCTGTTTTAAAGTGTTCCTTGTATTATACACAGCTATAATTGTGTTTCTGGCAGCAGTTCTGGGACTTAATAATAATTCTGTAATCATAACATAAATTATTTGAAATCTATTTGGGAATTTCTTTAGAATAAATTTCATTCCTTAGTATCATAAATGTCTCAAGTGTCCTTTAGTTGAATCAATTTGATTAGTCAGCAGTCATTAGTTTTATTTATACTTAATGGATACTTGCTAGCATGAAAACCAGAGGTATGTTTAACATTTTTTAGATTAATGCAGAATACTATTGATAATTTTTGTAGTTGTTTGTGACTGCTATTGTATAGTGCTATTGTAAACTGCTAGCTATTGTATAGTGTAGCTTTTTTTAAACCTTTTTTTTTTTTTTTAAAGCAGAATGCTTTTTCTAACCAGAATCTTACGTGGACTGCCAATATACAGATCAGATCAAGGGCTGGCACCCTGAGTGGATGGGGAGGAGGGGAGAGGGGTGGAGGGTTGTGGAAGTGGGGCTGGGGAGAATGGGGGCTATAGTGGTACCATGAAGTCCCCCTGGTATCGATTACAAAGCATTCTCTCCTGATCCCGATGTGGTCCCTGTGGGGTGGGAAGGTAGGGCCAGTATTATCCTCATCTAGGTGAAGAAACTGAGACTCAGCATGATTTGTCTAAGGAAACAAACAGAACAGGTGAGAAGTGAAATGAGACTTTAACACAAGTCATTTGGATCTAGGTTTTTCTGAAGAAATAACCCAACTTTGTTTTTACTTACCTGCCTTAAATAATTTAAGTAGGTACAATTTTTTTACAAAAAGGTAACAACACTAATCTTAGTCCCCCTCTTTCTTATGGAGAGATGAATTATTTTCCTAGCTATTAGGTCTAATCATAGTTGTACAACAAGCTTTCGTGGGTCATTGTTTTGTATTAAGCCTCAAACATTGAACATCTTGTCTGAATAAATATTTAGTAGCAAAATTTTTATAGAAATATATTGTGGCGTAGTTTAACTTGAGAGCTTTAACCCATATTAAAAGATACCCTATAAATGCACATGTGGATGACTGGTCCTTGATTTTAAATAGCTAAGACCCATACATTTCTTAGGTATTTATGGAACTGCCTTTCTTGCTATCTGCAGCTAAACTCTTAATTGGAGGTCACTTATAGCCTTGTGGGAACCTGTTAATAGTACTGGCCTTAGATAATTTTCCACCTGTGGCCCAATTGCCATTCCTAAGTTTCTATTGGGATAGATCTCAGTCTCAATTCTGATTCCTGCCAAAGGCATCTTAGAACCACACTGTGGCCCTGAAGAGTGCCAGCCTTGCTTCTGTGCCTGCTGTCACCCCTGTGGTATGAAGGACACACTGAGTAATTGCAGAAAAGGTTATATTGGGGTCTAAGTTAAAACCAATACTCAAATACTGCATCAGGCGACTCCTTACTCAAAGTTGACCTCTCGGGTCTGAGCCCTGTGACTGGGAGGTAGCTATATAGAGCCGCCTTCTCTTCATAATGACATCCTGATATTGGTAAAGCACGATTTGAACAAGGTGTTTATTAAAGTCTAAAAACATATTTAGTTATTTTACATGCATTTCTTTGATTGTCGCCATGAGCTTGCAGAGCATGTGGCGTTATTCTCGTTCTGCAGGTGAAATAACTGAGGTTATGGAGTTCAGGAGCTCACCCAGGGCTGCTTGGGAGCTGGGGTTTGACCCCAGGTCTGTCCTCAGCAGCCAGGCTCTTTCTGAACTGTTACTAATGTGCGGTCCTAGGGTGATGGGAATGTTTCACCTATGGTTATTTTTTATTAATGTGAGCATTTGGAATGTGTTTGGATTATTAATATATCTTCTTATAGAAAGTTTGGCTGTACATAGGGAGCCAGAATTTTTTTGGAGCCAAAAGAATTATTATATTTCACTTAAATTATCCTCTTCCCCTGAAAATGGGAAAAAAAGAAACAGATATAAGATAGTGCAACTTTGTTGAAAATTTATAAAAACAACAAAAAACCCTTTAAAGTAAAAGAGCTAAAAACAAAAGTGGATATTTAAGTAAAATCCTAGGCTTTTATTTCTAGGAGAGAGGTTTGGTTGTCCAGACCAGTCCTCTCACTTCTTTAAGGAAATTATGGCTTATGTCTCTTTTGCCTGGAGCCATGGCTTCTAGTCCAATGCTCTGTGATGTTATGTCAGCTCCTTCAGAGGCTTCTCTGAGTGGTGAGAGAAATGGAAGTTGGTTGATGGTGAAAGATTTGTAGTTTTAGCTGATTTATTTTTATGTAAAAAGTATACAAGTTCATATTGGTTTCTAGAAGAGGGTAATAACAACTTATCAACCATAGCTCCATGGTAGCCAGAGGAAGTTATGTTGGCAAGTTGAGGCAGCCTAAAGACTTGATAGGCAGACCACTCATGGGTGTCGGTGGTAAACATGGATTGGATTCCTTTTTTCCACACTGATCTGCTACTGTCCTAGGTCCTGGAGTAAAGGAATGCAGCACACAGGTGTTATATAATCTCAGAAAGCTTAGACAACTGGACAGGAACAGACAGTTGTATATGGAATAGATAGGACAGGTTCAAGGATGGACGCCATTAGTGACCAGTTTGCTGGGGCGAGGTGGGAGATACTGGGCTGCCCCGGGATTTGTGGGGCAGGGAAATGAAAGTTTGATGTTAGTGTTTTGTGTTCATCTGTCTTAATGGCATTTGAGGAAAGACCTAATATCACTGTGCATTGGACTATTTTATTTCTACTATAAAATAAATAATGCATAAAAAGTTCCAGGTGCAGGTGCTGTTCCTAGCTCTGGAAGCTCAAAACGGAGAAGACGCTCTCCATGGGAGTGTATTCTAGTTAGTGTGAGAGACTGGCATGTAGGTCAGTACAAGAAACTGACTCTTTTTATCCATAGGGATATTATTACCCCAATTTTACTGTTGTGGGGTTCTCTTGGTAGCCTCTTGAAGCAGTGGACATGTCCTAAGTGTTCCCCATGTGGTAGGGTCCCGCCAGCACTGGTGCAGCTGTGGATTACGGCACTGCAGGTTTTAACTCCATCACACAAGGCCAGTGGCCACCTCCTGAGAAGAACTAGGCTAGGCTCAGAGACACACAGTTGTCTCTTTTCAGTGAGCCTAGAACCCCTGAGGGGAGACACAGACAACTCATTGTAGTTGTCAGATGTGCTGAAGGGAAATGTGAGGTGGCAGCAGAGGGGAGCAGTTAGGTATTGGGCATGGGGAGGTGTGGGTGTGTAGGGATGAGGGAACTTGCTTGGATAGAAAAGATAGCATTTGACGTGAGACTTACGGAGATGACTGAGATTTTGTTGGAAACACATCAGAGGCTCAGAGAGCATTAAAGTGGTGAATGTGGCCAGAGATTAGGAAGAAGAGCTGCACAAGGCGCTGCTGAGATGCATTTTGGGAACTTAATGTGAAGAGATTTGGGTCATGTCACAAGGAGTAAAGTGGTAGTGTTTTAAGCTGGTTAATGAGATGGTGTGTGCCTTAGAAAGATAGAAGACCAGTTCAAGATGGTTGTACTACTCTAAACGAGAGGTTTTGAGACCCTGGAGAAGTACAGAAGAGAGAAAGGAGAGATTCTACAGAAATAGAGTTAAAATAAGAGCAAAGGACTGGAGGCATTGAAGATATTGAGGACTCTAGTGGGGTGGCTAAGTGGGTGAAAGAGAAGCAGGCACAAACCGATGAGCTTGCCTTTGGAGAGAAAAAATTTGAAAACTCTACTTGTAAGACTTTAAACATGAAAATCACTAGCGAGCAGCTGGAGGTGGAAATGAAGTCAGATGTTTCACGCACCGAGAGAGTCTGCCCGCCTCCCTTGGGGTGGCATTAGCCTGGAGCACCGACCACTGAGGTGCTGGAGTTAAGAGATGAAATGAGGGATGTTGGGCCACGAGGAGGCCTTCTGCAGACATGGCTGAAAGGGACATTTCAGGAGAACGGTAATGGTGACAAGGCATAATGGGGGGAGGCCCGGAGAACTGAGTGGCCTAGGGTCACAGGTGGTGAGGGGTGCTTGCATGAAGGTCTCAAGTCACTGTTGGGAATGAGGAGAAAGAATTTCTCGTCTCAGATCCCCAGGTACGGTGAGTGGTTGTGAGACGAGTAGTCTTTATACACAGACATCAGTGACACCCTCTGGTGCTTCAAAATCTTTTAAGGCAAATCATACATTTTTAAAGTCTCATTTCAACAAATGCTATATAGGAACAGAATTTCTCTTAGTGCATCGGTATAATCAGCGATACACTGACGGGAGAAAACGTCAGACTTCTTTTATTGGATAAGGACCACGAGGCAAGCCCTTGTTAGGATCTGTCTTCTTGTAAGAAGCATACATGAGAGCATTTAAAACATTTTGTTTTTTTGTGGTAACTGCTTCCACAAGCTCAAACTCACTTACTTAAATGTAAACATCTTCCATAAATATGCGATGTTTCCTACCTGGCCTGGTAAATCCTATGACAATTTGAATTATAACATCCTGCAGTATCTTCAGTTAGTAAATGAAAACATTTCCAAAAAAAAAAAAATTCCTGTATGTAACTTTCCTCGCATGTTTAATATCTAAGTTAATACCCATAGTCAAAGGCGGGGCTGTTGACAGGAAGTCTGAGGCTATGGGCAGGGGTGGTGGAGAGGAGAGGCCGAGGGAAATGGTGGTTGGAATGCAGAGTGGGGCCCCAGATTCACAGGACACCTTAGTGCTTAGATGCTGACCTTGGCTGAATGCCTGGGCACAGGCATCTCTTTACTTACCTTCGCAACAGAGAGCAGCATTTTCTCATGGACTTGCTCAAAGGATGAAGTGAGTTTTCTTACAGTACTAAGCCTGGGTCCACCGTGATTTTGGTCACTGTTACTAAGGTTGCTGTGATTTCTACCTATTACTGTATTAAGGGAAAGTGTGGGCCTCGGAAGCATAGAAATCTGGCTTTGCACCTCCTTTTTCTTAGTTCAAGAAGTGACACGACCTTGGATAAGCCAAGTTCGTATACCTCCCTCAGCAGAAGGCATGTACCAGCTCCACGCTGCCGCCACCAGTGGTCTGAGTTTGTTTGCATTTGGTGTAGTCCCAGTTCATAGTCTCAGCCGGCAGATATTTGTTGGCTTTTCTTTTCCTGCCTTTAACATTCGGGTTTCTTTTCTTTCAAGTCCGGCCTGGAGAAGAGCGTCGACCAGGCAGTGGGTGAGTGGGACATCGAGAAGGCCGAGGAGCTCAGCGACCAGCTGGCCACACGCGAGGTGAGTCAGGCTGGGGACGGGCTTTGTCTGTGTCCAGATTTCCTAAAATCAGTATCCATTCTTTTTATGATCATGTGTGGCTTCATTATTCACATACTTGATCTAAGATTTTCCTTTCCGCTTATTTCCTCCCTCTCAGTTTACCATTTATTTCAAAATGCTGAGTTTTATTTCTATCTTCATAATCTTTTAAAATTACTCTGGTCTAAAGCTTGTGCTGGAAGTAATTCTTGATTGAAATTCTACCCTATATTTCAGCTAGTTCAGGTTTTTACAGGTTTGATTAGCTTTCTTTTTCCATTTGCATCTTTAACTCTCCCTGAGGGCAGTTATGTGTTCCAGTGTTATGTCTCTCAGTGTTTGCTTACCCTGGCTCCCCAAAATGCTTTCTTACTGCTCGCTCCCTCAAGACTTCTCAGCCCTTTTAAAGACCTCCAGTATAATGATAACAGTACAGTGAATGTCCTTTTTCCAGAAAAAGGCTTCCAAGGATTACATCTTGTGCCCTCTGGGAGGCATATTCCCAGCAGCCCACTGGGAATCGCTGCTAGACATTGCAAGTCACCGTCATGTGTGTTTTGTTGTTACCATAGTTTCATAATTCTTTTTGTCCTTTCTAAGGAAAAAGCTCCAGCACAGTTTTCTCCTTTAGCATGTCCCTGCCTTCCTCACCTCGTTTATAAACTTGAACCCTCCTTGGTGTCAGATGGCTAGAGGGGCATCGCTCCTCCGTGCAGTCTGAGGGCCACGTCCCTGTCCTTTCTTATGGGGTGAGCATTTTTCTAAACTGAGACTGGTGATGAAATGACTATTTTAGTAAATTTTCTATGAAAATATTTGTCCACTATCATCACATGTCAGAAATCTGCCATTGATGCTGTTAGTTTGTTTTGCTTGTGGCTGCTGGCCATAAGTATCTTGTGGGGCTTGTATTTTTATGTAGGGAAAAAAACAAGTCCAGAGGTGAGAATTAGGGATTTATAAATTCTCTCTCTTTTTCTTAGGCCTTTTAAAATCAGTTGCCATCTTAAATACCTCTGTGAATAATATGTGTATGTTTATTTATTAATGGCAAATGTAAAGGAAATTCTAAAGCTGTAGGCTTGAGTTTGGCACATAGAGAAGAAGCCGCAGAGATGGCAGGTATGTGGCCTTTCAAAAAATTAAGTTAAAATAATTTCAGTATTTTTTTTTCTTAGAAGATCCATTTCTTCCTTTCCTGTTTATGATACGTGTGCTTTCATTTTGACTTTGTTCTATTTTTCGTCTTAAGTCGTATTTTGATTTTATTGATTATAACGTGCATTGAATAGCATTATAGTACTCTGATTATTATACTGATTCCTTCGGTTTGGTAGATATCTTGGCTTTTATGTCTATGAATCAACTATGTACTAAAGATCATCTTTAAAATTCTATTCAACAACATAGCACCTACTGTTGTTTGTTAGCAAGTAGTGCTATTATTCCAGGTATTTTTGATGCTTGGAACTTACTTTCCCCTAGAGGTGCTGCTGAAAGTGTTAGGTATGTTTCCAGGCCAGCTTGTGAGTATACAAAGTATCGCATGGAATATCAGTAGTACTGATCTCATCTGCAGATTTTGGGGAGTTGATCAAGAAGTGTCAAGATAATGGTAAGGAGGGACATACATGGGGGCTGGCTGGGTCAGGACATGTGACGCAATGTGGAATACTCGATTACCAGTGGGATATTTAAGTACCAGTTTACTGACCTAGGAATATTCAGAGCAGGGTGCCAGAGTCTTCCACACTCCCTATTGAAGACCAGTACTTGGTGTTGCTGCCTGTGTATTTTTCAGTATCTGAAAGTCCACTTAGACTTTGAGTCACTTATCACTGTCCCCATTATGACTTCCTGTACCCACTCTGGCTCATCCTTCCAACCCCACCTGCCTGTCCCTTCCCACCATTCTCTGATATTTCTGAACGCCCCAGAATTTGGAGATTATATACTTGGTATAATTTGCTATATGTGATGTTTGACCATCTTTCTTTGGAATCCCTTTTAAATTCTGGATATTGGTTATTGTTTGCTGTCTAGCAGCTCCTGGTACCATCAGCACCTGCTGGTTTCTGAGCCGACTAGATAGCTCTAGTAAAGCTAAAGCTAGACACATAATGAAAACCACCAGAGTGTGGGGAGTATGGCTGAGTGTGTGCAAGAAGGCTGTGGACTTCTGTCTTCGTTGCTCCCCGAAAGCTCAGAGGTCTCCTCAAACTGGTGTCCCGTTGTTGTTGCTTTGTCCAGTTTTCCTTTTGGAGGACCCAAGAGTTGTGTATTTTCTCTCCCAAATAGCAAAGTGACTGATCTCGGCCAGAGGCCCCGGGTCAGCACATTTCCTCAGATCTCTGCCTTGCTGAAGGTGGAGCGGCCAGTACAGCCCTGGTGGCCAGTGCTGCCTTCGGCGCCTCTGGTCCCTCCGTGGCCGGCTGCTCTTTCTTCATCTCTGTGTTTATTAGTACTTGGCACTGGTTGGGGGAATTCAGAGAAACATTCACTTTACTGAAGGCTCTATGCTCCTTTACAAACTTTGAGTAAAGTTTGTAATGCTAAAGTTTTAAGAGTTGAGCATATTTGATTTTTAAAAAAAATCTTTTAGTCTTAAATAATTTCATGAGAAATTTGTAGAGATTTTCTATTTACCCTTCACCCAGATATTTGAAATGTTAGTACTTAACATTTGCTTTATCATTCTTTTGAATTTATATATATTATTTAGATTTGCCAAATGTCTCATTGATTTCTTTTTAGCAAAGGAAATTTTCTCTTTCCTGGTCTAATTCATTGCATTTTGTTGTATCTCTTTAGTCATGATAATCTGGAATCATTCCTCAGTCGTCTTTACGTCTCTGGTATTTTTGGAGAGTAGAGGCCAGTTATTTTGTGGGATGTGCCTCAGTTTTTGGTTGGTGTGACATACCCTCATGATTAGGTACAAGTTGCTCACTTTGGCAGGAATATCACGTGAAGTGCTGTGTCCTTAGCAGGATATCAAGTCACGTGACATCTCTTGGGCTTATTTATTGGCACTGTTCCTTTATTTGGTTAAGGTGATGTCCCAATTTTTCTCCTACAGTGTTACTTTTTCTTAATGGAATGAATAAATGTTTCATGGTGTGCTGGGAGGTAGCCACACTATGTAAATGCTCTCTCCTTATGTGTTCTGGCGCTAGCATCCGTTGCTTTTGCGGTGGTTGCCAGATGACTTTAGATCTTTAAACCATGTGGTTGTTCTTTTCATCTCTACGTCACAAACCAACTCTTAAATTTGGCTTAAATGAGATATTGAATTACAGGATTTTTTTTTAAATCCATGTCAGTCTCTACATAAGCCTGGACAGTTGAGAATTAGATACAGTTTTCCTCAATTTTAAGTATTTTGAAATTATGTGCTGATGTCTAGATGTCATTAATCAGGCAGCTTAGGTTGAATTGAATGTGGGTTTCCTGAAGGGGAGGAGACAGGGTTGCCAGTGGCCTTATATCCACGTACGGTTGCTGTGACTCCCACCTGCCTGCCTGCCTGCCTGCCTGCCTGCCTGCCTGCCTGCCTGCCTGGCGTTCCCTTATGAGACTCCTTTCTCCGCCTTTCGGTGCTGCTGGTCTGGACTCGCAGCCTCAGACTGTGCATTTCCTTTGAAAATACTGGGTTTCTGCTTTGGTGTGTTTTGTCATCCTGCTATTTTAGAAATGGGAATTGTTTAATACTAAGTATTTTCCATCTTAAAGGTTGGTATTTCCTGTCACACTTTATGACAAACGAGATTGCTTTAGAAATACATGATATTTTCAGCACTTGTAAGGATAGTAAACATTTTCTCAAGTGTTCTTTTTATTTCCACATAAATATAATGCTTTGTTCTAGTAATATAAATCAAATTTATTTAGTGCAGGGTCAAAGAATTCTGATTAAAAGAAAAGAAACAGTAATTCGGGCCTTCTTTGTTTCCTTGTAAAGTGGAAAAACATCTGGAAAGTGTTTGCTGTTCAGCCACGGACATGGGAAAGATACTGATGCCATGTTAATTAAGTGCCTGTGAAGAATAACTAAAGTAATCAAGGTGGAATTCTTGAATAAATAATTTAGCTTGAGATTTAATTTTTCATATTTATCCCCTCGGTGCTATCACCGTGGATATGAGATGGGATTTTGAGAAGTAAGTAATTGTGAATTTGGGGTAGAAAGCCTTTATGAATTAAATCTATATGTGCTTGGTAGGTGTCCTTTTGGAAATCAGGTGTACTGGGTTTTAATCAGTACCACTCTCTTTTCTCAAGAAGCAGGACTGGGGCCTGCTGATAAAGCCTGTGCTCAGAGGCACAGATCCCAGTGTTCCTAAAGCCTCTTCCAGCTACAATAAGTGAAACTAATTTTTGATGTTTAACATTTACAAGCCTGTAAAACCAATAGGGCAACATCAGTGTTGAGAAAAATGAAGGCAAAGGTAGAACTATATCCGAAAATGGGCGTTGAAGACAGTTCCTCAACAAACAGTAGGTGTCCCAGAATAAGACTGGCTGTCATTGTCACACAACAGCATTTATTTTTCCAGAATCATATTCCTTAAATTGACATGACATCGGGATTACATCATTTGATTTGGGGGCTGGGTCCAGTCCATGTGCTCGACGCCTTGTTTTTGCCCAGTGATGTGTCGCATAGGACTGTTCCACCTGTTGACTGGATACTTTTTTGTTGTTAACAATCTCTAAGGAAAGATGAAGTGGAAAAATACACATGGGTTTGTGTGATGCTGATGAAATTGTTCTGATTTGAAAAGAGTTGTTTTTTAAAAAGAATGTGTCTGCGCACGTACACTCACTCACCTGCGCTTGTCTGTGTCTTGTTTGTTAACGGCGACCTTGACTTGGAAGCACATTCCATTCTTTGATCTCACTCCTTGAAAATGCCATTCTTTGGTACTGGTCTTTGCTGACACATTATCTTTGGTACAATTCAGATCATATCAATTTAT